AAAAGGAAAAAAAAAAAAAAAAAAAAACAGCAAGCATGTTATAAATTTGTGCCAAACCAAAGTGAATTTCAAGTTAATCCTTGCAAATTCAGCATTGAGAGAATGTTTTATTGTTGAAGGTTCCGTTTAGAATGACTTTCTAAGTACTTAAAAAAAACTATTTTAAGTGCAAAGGAAACTGTGTTTTTAAGCCGTTATTCCAAACCCAAGGTCTGTTAAATAACATTGCTATTATATTTCTTTTTGGTTATTTATTGTACCCGCCCAAGTCCACTGCTAGTAGATATTATCTTCTTTAGACTTTCCCTCCCAAGCTTCCCTCAAGGTTTTAAAATGTGTTTTCTAAGGAGAGGTTTTCACACCCTTATAAGAAATGCTTCTCCTTTCCAACCGATGTGGGATCTCACAATCCACCCACCTTGAGGGCCCAGCGTCCTTGCTGGCTTTGATCCCATTTGTAACAGTCCAAGCCCACTGCTAGCGGATACTGTCTTCTTTAGGCTTCCCCTCAAGGTTTTAAAATGCGTCTGCTAGGGAGAGGTTTCCACACTCTTATAAGGAATGTTTTGTTCCCCTCTCCAACCGATGTGGGATCTCACAAATTAGAGAGCATTCATGGGAGCTTTTAGTTAGTGATGAGGATCTCTTATCCTGCCCCGATGGCAGGTTGTTTTTAATTAAAAGTAATTAAACAAGTAAAATGGAAAAAGAGAGTGTTCGTAGACTAATCTGAAATAAATAAGCAGTTAAAGCCATCATTAGTTCTTTAACCTGTTTTAAAGCACGTGTCATGGCGAGGGCTGCACCTCTTCCGCTGGCGTGTGGTTGAGTAATGTGATGAGCATCGCCTAAAGATCATCATTATTTTTATTACCACATAAACTTAAAGACATTGCCCTTAGAGAAATCTACAAAATAGTCAGCGAAGCCAGCTCATTCAAATCAAATCAAACCTGAAGTCCCATAGCCACGAACTTCTGCATATATTCTAGCTCCACGTTTTAAAGCATGATCAAGTTCCTGTATAAGAAAATGAGAACTAACCTTGTAACAAAGCTACCTCAATCAACAAATAGAATAAAGGAACTGTTGTATCTCATTAAGGGCCTATTTAGAATGACTTTCTAAATCTTTAAAAGCACTTTTGTTAGCACATTAAGCACTTAAAAATTCATTCCAAACGAGCTTTAAGTAGCATCCAACTGACCTCCAGCACCATGACGCCAGAACCTTCCCCTATACTGAATGCGGGTCACAAGGAGGGGGGCGGAAGTGAGAATAAGAAAAAAAAAAGGATGTAAAATAAAAAAAAATGAAATGTGTACGCACACAAACCCATCTCGACCAGAGTCAAAAGGGCGAGAAGCTTCTTGTGGAGCTGAATTGTATTTTGTACATAAAGCCCTCGACCTGAAAATAATTAATTAGGTATGATTAGAACTCAAAAAGTATAGTCACATTCAGTACAACATAGTTTAGTCAAAGGCATTTTATTCAGTATTTTAATCACCTGCAAAATCCTGCTATTGATAAAGCATCAATGCTGGACTCTGTGCCTCCAGCCACCATAACATCAGAATCTCCAAACTGAATCATCCGAACAGCATCGCCAATTGAGTGTGCTCCAGTTGCACAAGCTGTCACGGCAGCATGGTTTGGTCCCTATAAGAACACACTAGACAGCTTTATTTGAAAGATATTATTAAGAAGTTCCATCGACTATGCTAAAAGGCTGAATGTGTTAAAATTGAACAGACAGAAACAGATAATTATATGGGCATCTGCTAATAACACTGACACTTCCATGTTGATATTGATCATATCTGGCCGGATATCAGCCTAAGTTTAACGGTCCAAGCTCACCGCTAGCAGATATTGTTCGATTTGACTCGTTATGTATCGTCGTCAGCCTCACGGTTTTAAAATGCATCTCCTAGGAAGAGGTTTTCACACCCTTATAAGAAATACTTCGTTCCCCTCTCCAACCGACGTGGGATCTCACAGTTTCCCATTTTTGCAGCAAACATCACTTACTCCAAAATAAATTGAACCAAGATATCTGATGCAACCTACACCTAAGAGACAGAGCTCTAACAATTCTCAACAGGAGCCTTTACTATTATTCAAAAAGTCATGCAAATACAGAAGACTAACTCGCATTTCATAGAGAATGTTAACCCACTAAGTAAACCAATTTCTAATAAAATAACGAACAAATCAACAGCCAATACCAATTAGAGACTACTAACTAACAATTAACAATCTCAACTAAAACTAGAAGTTTACCCTTAATCACAGTGCACCAATATCTCATTTCAATTCAGCTTCATGGCTACTTAAAAATACTGATTACCCATAAAAAAAGATCCCTAAAAAATTATCAGACATGGACAACTAGCATCATGAATTGAAGAACAGCATAAATGCCATGTATCCTGATCAATCTCATAGCATAGCAAATTCTCAAAAATCTTAGAATATATTTCTGTACCTGAAATCCATATTTCATGCTCACGTGACCTGAGGCCATGTTGATTAGTATTCGCGGAATGAAAAATGGACTAAGGCGACGTAGCTTCTGCAAAAAAAAAAAAAAAAGAGGAAAACAAATTCATTTAAAAACCCCCCATGATGAGAGGCACGAGAGAGATTTCTGTTCTTTTTCTCAATATATGAAGAGCAAAAATATCATAAATTAACCTTATCACAAATTAGTTGTGCTGCATCTAGCACATCACTGATGCTTCCTATTCCACCACCAATAGAGACTCCCTGGCATTTTCACGTTAAAAAATTCATATTTTCCTGAATAATTAAAAGAAAAATGTTGTACATATCACTATACAAAGAACCATACTGTCTTTTCCTTCTGTTCCTGCAAAGATGGCATCCAATTCGCATCTTTTAAGGCTTCATCGGCAGCACATAAAGCATAGCCTATAAACCTTGAAATTGAGCGATGCTCCTGACAATTTCAATAATCTGAAACACGATTAGCTGAGGGAATACCTACAACTATCAGAGATGTTCACAAAAATCAACTAAAGAATCTGTCCCACAACTAGGTTTATATTTTCACTAATTCAGGCACCATAAGAATCATCTGAGCTGTGGCTAATAAAAGCAACAGAGAAAAAGCTATGTCTTAAGAACCCATCCAGCAGATTAGACCTCCACTCTCAATTTTTGTACATGAAAAAAAATCAAGCTATATAAAAATGTAACAATCAACGTAAATTATGTTCAAAGAGAAGCATTTTGTCAATAAGAAATATCCTCTTTGACCTTAGAATTAAGCCACAATTCTTCGTTAAATTCACCAGGCTTTGTTCCACGAGGGACCACAGCAGCAACTTTTGATGTCAATTGGTCATATATGTGCAACTGAGTTTCTGGATCAAAAGCATTAATTTGGAGATCTTCTGGGGTTAATTTTATAATCCCACATCCCCCTTCTATTAGGCGCGTCCAAGTAGATTTCACGCCGCAACCAAGTGGAGTCACCATTCCTAAACCTGAAATGAAATGGCAAACATGTAAGAGATGGTAAAGTAAAAAATATAAGCATATTCATGAAAAAAGACTACAAATTACTCTAAAACAATTACGAGAGAAACACGAGGGAAAGTTGATGCTTACTCCCGATAAGCTAAGTGCCAGCAAGAACAAACTATTAGATATTTTAGATACATAGAAAAAAAAAATCAACCGAGCATGATCACATAAATGGATAAAAGCTTCAATCTACGCATTTTCATTTACTATCTCGGCAAAACGCTAAAGTTTGCAGAAAATGCAGCTCGACTCTATTGGACGCTACAAATTTCCTTTGGAGATATTAGACAGGCGTGATTGCTATATTATAAATTAAATTAGGAAAGCATTACCAGTAACGACCACTCTTCGAGTATGAACGACAGGAGGAGGATCAAAAGCTTGAATCGCCGAAAATGATGAAGAAGGAACATGGCGACTCAGTGGGAAACGAGATTTGGCAAATAAGCGACGGACAGACGGAAGTATCATCGCCGGTTAATGATCACCTTCACTGAGGATTGGAGACGAACAGACCTTCAGAGATTGAGGAAGACACAGTAAGAACATCGAAACTTGCAAGGAATGGCTCGCGGCAGTCACTTCAATTGTTCTTTCCTTAAATACAATTTCCGTAGAATTTAAAACGCTTGCGTTTTCTAAACTACAGGGACACATTTGTAATTTCACTCTTTTTTTTTTTTTTTTTTTTGCTTTTCTTTTCTTCTTGGAGCGGAGCAAAGACTTTCTTTAAAATATATAAAGGAACCTAATATTATATAAATATATAATAGACATAAGACGACACCTATGGAAAATATAATTTTTGCCCCGAACCTCGCTTAGTCAACATTCAAAATCTTTTCTTGCTCTCCTCTATTTAAATGAGGATTTTTCATCTCGATCTCGTGGTTTAAACGAACATTTTTAGTTGAAACCTAAAAATCTTAAGAACCAAGTTTATAATTGAACATTTGCATAAACAAATAAACCGACATACGATATGGACCTACAGTCCTGAGTTTCGTGTTGAAAAACGATAAATCGAACTAGTATATAGTATCATCATACACTATCATTTACAGTTCTATTAAACATACTAACTACGTTCTTCAATCTATCTACAAGGCATTGCACGTTTCAAGGGTGGATTTGGCAAGCCACAATAAGCCAGGATCGTTACGCTTCAGTACGAGAAATGTTTCGGCGTTGCCCATTTCGTTTAGCAGTACATCTTCAATGAAACCTATCAAGAAGAGGATCTCCAGTGCAGCTGCATTAAAAAATGTTAAAAGAATTGATACAGAAGATCATAGTGATTTAGAACAGTTCTTTCGTTTCTTCGAGCATGTTGCACATGAACGCATACAAAACTAACCTTTGTAGTTGGCAACATTCTTCTGGATAGTGGGATTAGCCTGCAATGCTTCATTTATTAGCTCAAGGATACAATAAAAATTACTAAAACTTATTCAAAGCTTTCTGTATTTCGTAGTCTTGCCTTGCGAAACTTTCTGTATTTCATATCACCTGGGTGTTCAATTACATTCCTGCAGATAAGAGGAAATTTAAGCAAACAATTTACCATTGAAGATTAAATCATAATAACCAGATGCCAAAAGCCATAGTGTCAGTAGCCAAGGACAAGCAGTCGAACATTTCCATCAAGAACTGAGAGCACAAAAGGAAAAGAACAGTAGAAGTTACCTAACAATCTTGAACAGAGTTTGAAAAACTGCAGCCGATTCAGAAGGTCGAACTTCAGCCAGCAGCCTTGCGATAGCCTCACGCAATCGAATGCAAACAACAGAAACAGAGTCTTGAATTCTTTGAATTTCTTGATCATCAGGATTGGGTTCGTCAACAACCATTTTAGATAAATCCGCCTGATGTACCGAACTTTCATCAGGGTCAGGCTCTGTCTGCATAGGTTCTGTGACTAAGCCAGCTTCTAGACAATTCGCCTCATAATTAGAACTGTCATCTGGGTCAGGCTCGTACTTCTTTTGATAATCGGAACTGTCGTCTGGATCAGGCTCGAACTTCTTTTGATAATCGGAACTGTCGTCTGGGTCAGGCTCGAACTTCTTTTGATAATCGGAACTGTCGTCTGGGTCAGACTCCAACTTCTTTTGATAATCGGAAATGTCGTCTGGGTCAGGCTCGAACTTCTTTTGATAATCAGAAATGTCATCTGGGTCAGGCTCGAACTTCTTTTGATAATCAGAAATGTCATCTGGGTCAGGCTCGAACTTCTTTTGATAATCAGAAATGTCATCTGGGTCAGGCTCGAACTTCTTTTTATAATTGCAACTGTCATCTGGGTCACGCTCGAGCTTCTTTTTATAATTGGAACTGTCATCTGGGTCACGCTCGAGCTTCTTTTTATAATTGGAACTGTCATCCGGGTCAGGCTCGGACTTCTTTTGATAATTGGAACTGTCATCCGGGTCAGGCTCGAACTTCTTTTGATAATTGGAACTGTCATCCGGGTCAGGCTCGAACTTCTTTTGATAATTGGAACTGTCATTTGGGTCAGGCTCGAACTTCTTTTGATAATTGGAACTGTCATACGGGTCAGGCTCGAACTTCTTTTGATAATTGGAATTGTCATCTGGGTCAGGCTTGAGCTTCTTTTGATAATTGGAACTGTCATCTGGGTCAGGCTCGATCTTCTTTTGATAAGCATCAACATCAGGATCAGGCTCCAGTTTGTTTTGGCAATTAGAATTTTCATCCGGATTGGACTCTCCATTTACTGGAGACACTCTTGAACTGAAATCTGAAGAGTGTGACAAACGGTGATAAGCAGCGGAAACTGAAGAAGCACGGGGATTAACCAGCCGATACGACATGCTACCACCAAGCTTCTGTGAGACACCAAAGCCGTCTTGGACATCATCGCTTTCATCGTGATATTGGGAATAACTAACTCCGCTCAACGTGTGGCCTTTTGATCTTGTCCAATCTAAAGTGGCAGCCTCCTCATTAAGCTAAGAAATATAAGATTGAAAGAACAACCAAATTACAGACTAATAATGCAAAGCGACAATTGTAAATATGCCATAAATGAGAAAACAATCTTAATCATAAAACATACTACCTGCTTATCCAAAGCATAGAAGTTGGCATCGTGCTCGGAATAAATCATGTGTGCCTAGTTGTAAATCACAATATGTTACGAAATTCACTCGAGAATCAATTACCATGTACTATTATCCTCTGCATGCATAAAAAAAGAAAAACAAAGAGAGCTCACAAGTTCATGGAGTAATGTTTTCTTAATGCTTTCATATTTTCTGAAGCCCTTCAGGTCGTCTGTCCGAAGTCGCAGCGATATCTCCTCTCCATGGTTCTGATCAGAAAGCACAGTCAAAATTCGAATTTGGAGAATAATATTCTAAGATTTTCCACACACTGAAGTAGTCGTTCATACCTTATTAAAGCCAAGAATACATTTCGGGCTCACACCAACATAGCCAACAGGGGCCATCTCAGTCATAATTCCCACACGCCAACGATGCTAAAAGAAGGCCAATCACCAGGTTATTTATCGCCAATCACATATTAAATCCAGATTTAATCATTGCTTTACCTTGTTCATGATTGCAACAATGCCAGGATCAGCTGCAAGCATATGCATTCTTTTCAAAGCTTCTGAAGCTGGAGGGTTCAACTACCGCCAATGAAAGGATGCCATTCAACACCAGTTAAGACATGTAGATTAATATAATTCTCAACAAAGGAAATCTTAAAGGGCATAAGCCCTGCAAAATGCCATCCTGCTGACATTTATGCATGCAATACTAAATTACTGAAAAAACACTATAGAGCATGGAAAAGAGCACCTCAATTCCTGGAATTTGAAGCGTCCGAAATTCACAAAATACATAGGGTCCTTCTGGTAGTTTCAGTAAGCCCTGTCGCTTACTTGACATTCGTTGTTTCAGTCTCTGTTCTTCTTTGTCGAACCCAGCAATTCGTTCATTTTTCTTTTCGTTCTTCAAAACTTCATCTACCTCATTCTTAGATACTCCCATCATTCTGATAGGCTTGTTGTCCTGAAGCAGTCAGAGCTGATAGTCAGTTGCCTAGAACTAGCAGCATAATGACGGTTTTTTGGTGGATCATTAGAGAAAATATTGTTCCAGACAGATCGAAACAGCAAACTTAATATCAGAACTTCATACGCGTCACGAACATACTACTTCAAATAACCCGTCAAATCAAAAACCAACTAGTAGCTGTGGCACACAACCTAAAAAACTCTACGTCATAGATATAAGTAAATGAATGGCACCTTAAAAATGGAAATCTTATGCAAAGCCAAGAATCCATCTTCATCAGAAAAAGGATATAACATTTTAGAGCTTTTGCTGGAAAATTGTGGGACTATGAGCCGCATAGTATCTGCTTGAACTTCTGTTAATTTTAGCAGCTTTTCACCGAGGTCCCGAAGAGTAGAATCTGAACTAATTTCCACCACATACTTCGTTCCTCTCCATAAGACGGGCAGATTATACATGCTGTGTTGCTGCTCCATGCTCTCCTGAAAGAAATAACAAGCTATTATCAGGACACTCAGTATACTCCGCATTAAGATTTTAGTGTGACGGCCCAAATCCACCGCTAGCAGATATTGTCCTCTTTGGGCTTTCCCTTTCAGGTTTCCCCTCAAGGCTCCTCAAGGCTTTAAAACGCGTCTACTAGGAGAAGGTTTCCACACCCTTACAAAGGGTGTTTTGTTCACCTCCCCAACCAATGTGGGACATCACATTTAGATTGTCAGAGCTGCAGCTTCTCGTGCTCATCTTAACAAGAAGCTGGCTCATACAAAAACCAACATGGATTAATGAACATATCAGAAGGAAACATAAGGTCTTCCCACGGCTAAATCCAATTCGATTTTCATTGTTTACAGGTGGGGACTACCAATGAACTATCGCTAATAAATTCAGACTGCAGCAATTGGGAATCTTTCATGGTTGCCATCAACGATCCAGTGAGAGTAACTTCCCATGAATTAACGGGTAATTGAACCCTAAGTAAACCACGTAAAATTATGCAGCCAAGACTGCTGACAATAATTATGATATTCAAATTCTGAACACGGTAGCTATTAGAAAATAGAAGAAACTAGTTTAAGACCAAGAAAGTCCCTCATTGATCGATCCAACCAAACGAAATTCCATCTCTCCCTATGCGAAAAGGAGCAAAAACTAACATCTATCTCATCAATTATCGCTAAGCTTGTGGAAAAAATTGACAAAATTGAACGTTGGAATCCACGATATTCTTAACAGCTGAACAATCAGATTGTTTCTCAAAGAAAAACGCGTCCAGAAAGAAGAAGAATACCTTCTCATCGAAATCAAGAGGTGAGGTAACAAGCCCTAGCAATCTAAAACAACTCTTTCACGCATCGAATTCCATCGAAACAAAAGGAAATCAAAACCATGGTTTCAAAACTTTTGAAAGGACGATCGGAACCCAGATTTGAAGGCATGGATGACTTACCAGAAGTTGATCGGTGGCCTGTGCGAAAGGAAAATGAATATTGCCCTAAGAACTGGTTGCATGCGAAATTAGAAGAGATTTATGCGCGTTGAGAAATGAAAATGAAGGTCGCAGTTTGTGCAGATGGCGGCAATCTAGTAGACGGATGACGAGGACGCCCATTTTTACGCTGGTTCAAACAAACATTACGTGTGCGCGGCAATTTAGTCCACGGATTCACCTTTAGACACAAAATAGTAAAATTCGTTATCCCCATGGTACCTTTTATCCAAATAATTATTTTTTAATACTATATTCCGATAATTATTACATTCGATGCTCGAGATACCTTAATCATTGATGCTCGAGATACCTTAATCAAGACACATTCGAATGTATTGATGCTCGAGATATCTTAATCAAGACACATTCGAATGTATTGATGCTCGAGATACCTTAATCAAGACACATTCGAATGTATTGATGCTCGAGATACCTTAATCAAGACACATTCGAATGTATTGATGCTCGAGATATCTTAATCAAGACACATTCGAATGTATTGATGCTCGAGATACCTTAATCAAGACACATTCGAACGTATTGATGCTCGAGATATCTTAATCAAGACACATTCGAATTATTGATGCTCGAGATATCTTAATCAAGACACATTCGAATGTATTGATGCTCGAGATATCTTAATCAAGACACATTCGAATGTATTGATGCTCGAGATACCTTAATCAAGACACATTCGAATGTATTGATGCTCGAGATATCATAATCAAGACACATTCGAATGTATTGATGCTCGAGATACCTTAATCAAGACACATTCGAATGTATTGATGCTCGAGATATCTTAATCAAGACACATTCGAATGTATTGATGCTCGAGATATCTTAATCAAGACACATTCGAATGTATTGATGCTCGAGATATCTTAATCAAGACACATTTTTATATTTTGAAATTTTTGAATTTTGAATAAATTTGGTTTATAATTTTTATTGGTCTTTTTATTTATTATTTAAAAATAATCTTAATTTATTTTTGAAGTAAAAAATTTCAAAATAAAGGAACTTGCAAATGAATTTTAAAAATTTAACTAATTTAAATCATATTTTAGTAATAATTTTTTAAGAAAAAAAAAAGAAAAAAAAGAAAGAAAGGCAGAATAAGTACTATCGCACTAAATCATAAACAAAATGCAACTATCGCACTAAATCATTAACAAATTCAATGCATGCGGATGAGATACCGTGAAGGCATGCCTATTGCCGCAAGAAGAAGAAACCAAAAGACCATAACAAAATTGCCAACTAAGAATCAGAAATAGAAAACACATTTAAATTTTTTCTCAGGCGCTAAAGAAGGATATAAAAACACTGTGTGATTTCGCCGCCGTTCAATGCCCCGCTGTAAACCTGGTGCCCTTATATTCCTCCGACGCCGGCTCGTCTTCCGATTACGCCGCCCCCTCCTTAAGTATTCTGCCGGATGCCGATAGGGTTATGGCGATGTTGTTCACGATCTTGTATGTGTCATCGAAATCGTCGTCAACGTCGTCGTTTTCTTGTCTGCATTGGTGAGCTTTTTCGCTCTCGTCGGTGGCGGCGGAGGAGTACCTGACGACGTGAACGTTGTGGCCGTGGTCGGAGTCGGCTACGGCGGCTCTGGTGATCAAGAAGCAGAGAAGGATCGTTCCGAGGGAAAAAAGGGCCAGGCGTCTGGAAACAGCCATAATTAGGGCTTGTGTTGTACGGATGAATTGTTTGAAGGTGGTAATGGGAGTGAAGAGCGTTCGCGGGCACCTAAATATATAAGGTCGAGAAACGGATTTGTTTTGCTTTTTCATTTTCGTTTATTTATTTATTTATTTATTTTTATTATTATTTTGTTGATGAGGTTGTGTTGAATTGAGCTGGTCTTAAGGCATGTTAGCCATGAAATGCTGACACGTGGCTTGTAATGTGGGACCTGAGAGATTATTCGGTTAAATTGAACAACACAATTGAACTACCTAGTGTGCAATATTGGGTATTCTCCGCATTATAAAAATATGATTTGTTTCTTATATATTTCATCAAACAATTGTATTAATGTCTCAAACCGGTAAAGATTGGGGACGACTTTGTCATGTTCTTGTACTACTACTATTTATCATGAAATTTTTTATAGGATACTTCTCAACCACTCCATAAACCCGGAAGCATATCTCATGTGTAAATTAGTTAACATAGGATACTTCTCAACAACTCCATAAACCCGGAAGCATATCTCATGTGTTTATAACCTATTGGTAACGTCCAAAAGTATGTCAGTTGGAAGCATATCTCGTGTGCTTATAACCTATTGGTAACGTCCAAAGAAGGTCGGTTGGAAGCATATCTCATGTGTTTATAACCTATTGGTAACATCCAAAGAAGGGCAGTAGAAGCTACTTCGTTTCTCGAGAACTGCTCACCTTTTAGGTCTGTCCATTAAAATGAAATGGTGCATCATTTTTTTTTTTTGGCTAATATTTTGAGCTTAATATAAACTGATTAATTAGACACAAAGAAGATGGTGTATGAATGTTTTATAAGGTAAAAGTTGAGGATGCCACTTGAGGAAAGAATGGCTTATGGAGGATAGAGAATAAGAGCTCTTAATTATTTAATGAATTCTCCCACGAGCTATCGTAGATCAGCGAGACGAAAGGAGTGAAGGGAAAAATAAACACTTCAACCATGAAAGTGAAACGTCATTTAAATTTAAACTAGGAAGACGAACAGCAACTGTCCCCATTAACCTCAGAAATCATAATCTTAACTCAGACGTTCTCCTTCACTACTTACTAAAAAAACTTCAATTTGTTCATAGCTCATCCTTGCTCACACTGTCATCTTCACCACCTCCCATAAGCTCTTCGAGTGAGAACTCGTCCTCTTCGATTACCTCCCCGTCTTTACCGTCCCATGGCTCCGTCTTCACAATCTCAGGGGAGCTTTCAAGTGGTAAATTCCCTTTTCCTCCACGGCCAGCTTCTTTTACAAACTCCCTGTAAAAGAAGCAATCATTTCATAAGCAATTTTATACATTTCTGAAATGGTATTTGGATGGGATGTAAAGTTTTAACTTACACAACATGTGCGAGCTCAAATGCACTCTTAAGCGGGGCGTATGCTCCTTTCTTCACATTCAAAGCTACCAAAGCAGGGTATCCATATCCACCAACTCCAACGCGCTTTTCGAGATCTGGTTGCTTACCAGCAGCTGCCCAAACGTAGCTGCATAATAGTATATGAAGTAGATTCAGATTCATGTAGTGTCTCATTAGAAAATTGTTTTAGACCATTTATATACTGATCACTATATGATATCCAGAGTGAAGAATTTAACTTGAGTGAAAGCATGTGATTTTAGATACTTGCCTGTAGGGGCTTCTTCTGAACTTCTCTGCAACTGACAACAATTGCTCCAGGTACTTGTTCCTACCTTCGGCCTTGGTATCCAAAATGTCAGGCAGAAAAGCTACAAAACATATGGCAGCCGAGGCACATTTCTCTTCCATGACGTCCTATATGAGTGAGATAATAAGATTCATACTTCCACGCGTATGATAAAATATTTTAGAAACCAGTTAGCATATCAAGAAAGCAACTTACAGGACCAGTCAGCTCCGTCACTTCTGGGGGTGCAACATTTGTATCTAGCTGCTCTAAAGCAAATGACTCGATTGCTGACGCAGTTCTTGTACCCTCATAAGGAACTGGGGTGTCCTTATCAGCACCGAATACCAAGATGGTGGGGAATCCTTGAACATTGAACCTGCTCATTAGAGACTGGCGAGCCATTGCCGATTAGATACCTCAGTTAATCATTAGTAAAGTAAGCAAGACTCGAATTGGAGGTAAAATGAATGGAAACTAGAAATGAGACTGTTCAACAACTTGATGAATCAAGTTACTCATAAAAATTTGGGTTGCCGTTGAATTATCATTCATGTCCAAATTCATCATTTTCAATGGAAGAATAAACTCAACAACTTATAAAAATAGGTCATTCATAAAAAAAATATATATATATATATATATATATTCAAAGGAAAACAAGTTTTAAAGAATGATATCAAATATGTTTCCACTTCATTTTTGTTCTAAAAATCCACAAGAAAAAAATAACAGTTTTTAAACTCAAATTCAAACAGCCTTATTTTCCTCCTCGGGTTTCAAATAGTTAACCCAACAAAACATCATCAGGCAGGCAGACAATTTAAGTCATATGATAGACGAAACAATCGTTCAAGTAGTCAAATCAACCTGATGATGAAAACTATATAAATCTGATCCACGTCGATCCCAATATAATTCTACAATTAGCTGACAGATTCAATAAAGTTTCAGATAATTTATTGGTTAAAATACCTAAAAGCTGAATTTTGACTAACCTTCTCGGCATCACAATCTACGTGGCCCAATTTAACCTTCCCCTTCAAATTCTTAGCAGCCTTCTTCCACTCTGGAGCCAATCGTTTACAGTGTCCACACCTTATATAAGATAAATTGGAAAAAAAAATAAATTATCGTTCTGGCAAAATATAGAATACAATCATGCTCTAAGGTAAAAAATAATAATAAATACTTACCAAGGAGCAAAGAACTCCACAATCCAGAGATCTTTACTTTTTATCACCAACTCATCAAAGTTGCGAGAATTCAACTCTTCTGAAGCATTAGGTTCTGATTTCTCATTTGATCCTCCTCCTGCTGTTTTTCCACTTAGACGTTCCTTTAAAAGGGCCTTTACCTGATAAAAAGAAAATGAATGCAATATATCAAATGCACGTCTCAAAATATGAATGATACAAGTATTTTCACACTTGCATGAGAAGATAAAGGATCTTGATGTGCTCTAAATGAAAGTTATCCCAACAAGTTCCGATGCAAACCTGTTGCAGAGCAAATTCGGCAATGGGTTTAACATCCCGAGCTCCTTGATAGTCTACTGGAGATTTTCCAGGCGCAAAGACTTTTATGGTCGGAAATCCTCTAATGCCATATTCCTGTAGAAATGAACGACCCACTGAATATAAGGAAACTCAGAGTAGCATAGTGAACAAGAAGTGTTTCATAATTAGAGGAATTTGCGATGAAAAGAAAGAAGGTCATTGAGTGGAGAAGATAAGCCGAACGGAAGTGTATCAATTGTCACATCCAACCAAACTCTTCCTAAGATTTTAAACATCAATGCTAGAATGTCATTCAAGAAAGAGAAGATGCACCAATGATACTCAAACTGACCACTCAAAAATTTAAGCAGCTATTTTTTTCGATGGAACAAAACCTTTAAAGTTTAAGCAGTGAAGTTTTTCAACGGAACAAAACAACCACTTTAAAACTTAACCAGTTATTTTCATCTAGAGAACCAAGGCGTCTTATTCATGCTCAAACCATCGAAACAATAATAACCAAGTGCATTCATACGACAGGAAAGATTCCCAATAAGAAAAGGAAAACATCATGGAAAATACAGCATCTATCTTCGGCGCCTTCTCTTGCTTTTGCCTCTTTCCAGGAAGGCCATGGATAAGGAAAAACAAGACTAGGTTAAGTGGCATTCAAACTCCATCTATCCCCACCAATAACAGTGAGATCCACAGTAATTGGGTCCACTAAAAAAATGTTACGATCGACTTTCAATCACAGATATTTTAATAGGTTAGACCTTTGGAGAATAATTAACTACCGCATGTTTGTTGATTGATGAAAGAAATAAAACACAAAAAAACTCAAGCTAGCAAAGACATGCAGAACAGAATTTGAAATAACCACTGAATGGAGTTGATTATAATATTAATGATGAACCTGAGCAAGTGACTTGTGCGCGTCTGCATCAAGAGCTGCTACCGTAACAACTCCTTTCAAAACAGTTGCTGCTTTCTCCCATACAGGAGTGAGGGCTTGACAATGACCGCACCATGGCGCAAAAAACTCGACTAGAACGATGCCATTTGAGTTCAATACCTATTACATCGCAAAACTTTGAGTTACATCCAAAGTTCAAATATGAAAATACATGACATTGACTTTCAAAACTAAACGAATTTCCACAATTATGACATCGGACTACGGTAGAAATGAGGAAGATAACATAATACTATTAGCAAAAAGAAGAATGGAAAGAGATCGCTACATCGATTTCATAAGAACCTTATCTCGTATAAATACCATTCGCATCCGATTCCAAACCACATCATATTAACGCATAAAATAGTGCGATCGTCCAAAACGTGAAATCAGCAGATGAAGAAAGGCACCAAATATTTCCGAACCTCACAAATACAATGCCACTCGAAGAAACAATCAAATCGCTTTCAAAAAAGCAAAAACAACAGCTAAAGTAGAATTTCAAAAATAAAAAGAGATCCACAGAGACATCACAAAGTGCGATTCCTCCATTCAGAGGAATCAAGAAGAAGAAAATACAAAAATGCCAGAAACAATACAATTCACTAAGATAGAAAATGAAAAATGAAACAACAGGGAAATTGAAAACAAACCTTCGACTTAAAGTTGGAAGGAGTTAGTTGAAGAACTGGAGACGAGGCCCCATACAGTGCGTGGCTGAAATCGAAACCAAGAAAGAAAATGAAAACGAAAAGAGTTAGAATCGTCGATCGATAACTTCTCATTCTCTCTCGCTCTTTTTCTGGATCAAGGCAGAAACCTCTCGATGAACACACTCGCAGAGACTGATAAACCCTCCAGAATTGAATTGAATAAGATCTCGTTTTTTTTTTTTTTTTTTTTTTTTTTTTTTTTTTTTTTTTTTTTTTTTTTTTTTTT